TATTTAAATATATTGTTAACTTCAAAATTTTATATGTGATATATTTTTAAAATATTAAATTTAAAAAATTAAAATTAGAATAACTAATGGGATATTAATGAAATCCAAAAAATTTCACGGGCAATACTATTTCTTAAAAAAAGTATGTTAAATAAATTTAATTATTTTTAAAATATAGACAGTCAAGAAAACAAATTTTGTTAAAATTTTATGAATTATATATTAAAATAAACATGTATATATTGTTAATAAATATAAATATTTTGTTCACACTTAGTGTTTTTGGCGGAACGATTCTCATAAATATTATTTCTGAAAAAAATACACAATATGTATAGTGTAGGCATTAAATAATAAATTTTTAAATTTAATTAAATATCATATATTTTGAAAATAAAAATAAAATTTCAATAAAATTTAATTATGCATATATGTTGATTTTTTACAATAAATATCAACCATTAATGCAAAATTTGTTTAAAATAGAAGATATCGTACAAATATTACGTGCATATATAGAGTCCTAACAAATTTGGTAATAAAATTTTTTAAAAAAATTGTCAATAAAGGAAGTATTATAATTAATATCTTTCGAGAAATGAAATGATATAAAGATACTGATGAGAAAAGAGAAAAGAATACGTGCAATCAAATCATTCAAACATGAAAAATGACATTCGACGAGAAATGAACGATTACAAAATCTTCCCGTCGGCCAATCAAATCACGCCATATGGTACTATCTGAAAAGGAAGTCAATGCCACCCTTCCACTACAAATAGGAGTGTTTGCCAATTTATTTGGGACATCAAAATTACATCGATAGTTCAGACAAATGGGTAAGTCTTTTGATTCTCTTTGTAATGTTCTTCATGTTCTTTGTGTCATTCGAAGCGTTCTTCGTTGAAAAGTCACTGATTTGAATAAATGATCCAATATTGGTTGACGAATCGATAAATTTAACGTTCTTCGTCATATGCCCGCGCCGAAAGAAGGATCAAACCTCCAAAAGTTGTTGAAGGATTTGTCAAAGCCAAGAAAGAGCCTCCAAAGTTCATCCTAAAACTTCAATTCGTTCGTCGAGTTCTTCGTCAAAAGCATCAACCCGGTCTTTTTCGATCCGAAAGTCAAATGAATACGCCGCCAAAAAAGCATTTTGGAGCACCAAATCCTACTCACCAAAGATCAGAGCCTCAAATCCACCTAAAGACGTATCCACAGTCAAAGCCGACGATCAAAATCACTTGCATGGAAACCAAAGCCCTTTAAAAGCCGGCAAAGTCAAATCAAAGATCATATCCACCTCGGCAACGATCAAAGCCCCAAATTCATCCAAAGTCAAAGCAGACGATTAAAATAGTCCGCATGGAGACCAAAGCCTTCCAAAGTCCGTCAAGGTCAAACTGGAGCACAAAATCCACCTCTACAAAGATCAAGATCTCAAATCCATCAACATGAGTCTTCAGATTAGGCCACTTTAAATCTAAATTAAATATAATTTATACAAATTTTGTATTTATTAAAAATAATATAATTTTTTGTCTGCAGATTTTTTGCACGCCCAGTGAGACTTATCTAACTTTCATTTCTCTTTCGGACGAATTTTCAACAATCAATGGCTTCCTACAAGATCAAGACGTCTAACGTTGTGTAAAAAACTGCTACTCAAGCCGCCGTCACCAAAGAAGTCGCTGCATCCACCACATCAAGAACCTTAAGCGTTTTAACGAATGATGGAATGACAACAAAAAATATGGCCAAAAGACCATTGTCGTTCTTTGAAGACACTCCTCCAAAAATCACAGAGAAAGTCTACTATATGTAGAAGACGACAACTTGAAGAGTACTTCCATACAATTCACCCCTCAACAAACTGCAAGTCATTCAACTGCATTAAGCTCTACTGCGGTGATGACTACCTATGCTTCAAATATTAAGGACCCAAAGATTACGGATCAAAGTCTGCTCTGTGAGGAAGATCAAAGCTTCAAAGGCACTTTCATGCCACCAACTCATCAACCAACTTCAGGTCATTCGACTATATCAAATTTTGCTCCAGTAATGACTATCAACGCATCAAATATGGAGGACCATTTTGCCGCATTGATCAAAATCATTGAAGAGATGTCTCAATATATGCAACAACAAGATGCTCTTATCGAAAAACTTCTCACAAAGCTGAACAAGCCTGAAGAAGACAATCATACCATAAAAAAACAACCATCTTCCCTGGCGGCCCAAAATAAAGCGGCAACACTGCGGATCAACATCATGGTAAAGAAAAGATGGCGAATTCATTTCAAAGATCATACGACTCTTTCATCCATATATCTCAACTTGACGAATTCATCAAGGGGGTACTCAAAAGAGTATTTGAATGGAGTTCAAGGCCGACGCACACTTACGCCAAGCCTTACACTGCAAGAATTGACGCCCTCAAAATACCATTGGGCTATCAACCACCAAAGTTTCAACAATTTGACAGCGAAGGCAACCCAAAGCAACATATAGTGCACTTTGATGTCGATTGAAGATAATCTGACAGTTGCTGACCCAAATCCTTAAATATTCCTCAGAAGAAACGTTTCGGAACCGTCACCAGCAACCGCCGTCAACCGCCCATAACGAAACATTTTGAAACGTCGTTTGGTCGGTTACGGCAACCGTCTCGCCAACCGCATAACCCATCCGACCAAATCAGAGACTAACTGGTCGCTAAACCAAACGACTCCTTGGTCGCCTCATCAAGTGACCACCCTCTGGTCTTTCCAAACGATTCAATGGTCACCCCAACCAAGCGACTGAACTACTGTTCACTTAATTAGGCGACTGATTAACAGACCTTCGCTTGGTCCAGACTCCGCATTGGCCGACTCAACCGATGGCGGACCAACCGACTGTGAACCAACCGACTGCAAACCATCTGACTTATTGATCCGACCTGCTGACTATCCGACCTACGGACCGTCCGACTCGCAGACTATCCGACCTGCGGACCTTCCGATCTGCGGACCTTCCGATCTGCGGACCGTCCGATCTGTAGACCGTCCGACTCGCAGACTATCCGACCTGCGGACCTTTCAACCTGCGGACCTTTTGACCTGCGTACCGTCTGACTCGCAGACTATCCGACCTGCGGACCTTCCGACCTACGAACCAACCGACCGAGGACCAACCGACCTGCCTATCCGACCATAGACCTTCCGACCTACCGATCCGACCAAGGACCAACCGACTTGACCAACTGACCTGAGCGCAAATTTTTTCTCCTTTTCCACCCGACTTCGTATCTAACTTCCTTTAACATCCTGCTATTCTTATTTTTATTATTATTATTATTTTTTGTACGTAACACAAATAATAAAATAAGAATGTGATGTTGCAAAACAAAATTAGTATTTTATCTCTCTCACCTTATTTGTTCATTATTTTTATTTTTACAGAAAAATAATTCTATATTTTAATCATATTTTAAATTTTATAGTCAATTTTTTTAAAATTTTAATTAAATTAATTCGTTATATTAATGTTAATTTATAATTATATATTATATACTAATTATTTTTATTAATACATTTTCTAATTATTTATTAATTATTCTTTATCTAAATTCATATATCTACTGTAAAAAAAACGAAGTATATTATATAGATCATTTACTTTCTATTTAAAATATTATACGGTGTGCCTTTCTTTAAAGAGACTTTCCTCTACCTATGTTCTATAGGAAGAATACTATTTGTTTTTTTTACGACATTGTATTAAATATTAAAAATATCTTTATATTTGTATGATTATTTAATAAATATCAATTATATTCGTATTATAAAATATTAATAAAATTTATTTTCGTCTTTTTATTTTTTTTTTTTACTACGTATTAATATAATACTTAATATTCAAAATGGTACGTACATAATGCCAATAATACTATTCTTTTGGGGAGAAAATAGTATTAAAAACTCATCTAAAAATCTATTTATAATCTATTTCAATTCAATTGTTTTAGTATAACACCTCTAAATACAATACAATTTGACGGGTACATTATATTACAATAGACAATACATGGCAGACAAACACATTACAAATATTACTCCTTCCGACCCATGTAATATGGGTGTATTACTATAGACACGCGATAAAGTATAATTAGTAAGTAATTAAGAAGTTATTAGTAAAAATAATTATTATTTAGTAAAAATAATTATAGATTAAGATTAAGATAAGTAAATAGTTTAATTAAAATTAAGAAATTATAAAATTTAAAATTTAAAATGCGATTAAAGTGTATAATTATATTTTCAAAAATAGAAAGTACAAGTTATGTGGAACCGACGAAAATAAAAAATAGAGACAAATTATGTGGGACGAAAAGAGTAATACTCTCATGTCTATAAACTAATAACTAATGTCATAGTTTTTTGCTTTTTGAAATATTCAACAATTATTTTATATATATATACAAAATTTATTCTTTTGCTGTTTCTTTATTTACTATATTTTTTGTTCACATAATATAAAAGACAAATTTTGTCAACTCATAACAAAAAAATTAATTATCTAAACAAAAGTGTAAATATCTTTTAAAGAGAATAGAAAATAAACTAGGAGAGTATAATAAAAATGACATGTACCAATTCATACAACACACAAAGATATAATTTCAAGCAAAATAACATATTTTGTTTTATATTATTAGAAAACATTTGTTATTTGATAGTTTTGCATGTGTTGAATGAATGATTTGTCCCTCAGTATGTAACTCCTAGCGAATCCCATCTATTGATTGTACAGAAATAAAACATATCGAACTATGTTGGTGTTAGAATTATGTCTTTCCACGCTCAAACGATCCCAAATGACTTACAAATCCCACATCGAAAGAGAGCCGACCTCAACGCCTCCAAGTCCACTTGTCACACAGTTTCGCCTAGTGTAACTTGATTTGTCAGACCTAATTTGCAGAGTATTACATTCGGCCGACGGTTTACCCAGTGCGCACTTTCGGATAACGGATAAATAAATAAATAAATAAATATAGCAAGAACTCTTAATGAAAAATACATCATGAAATAATAGGTGACATACCTCCAAGAATCAAATAACAACATACGAATCCAAGATGCTACAATAAAAATAATGTGGTGTGTTCGTTTCTTTCTGGGTTTCAATAACTCACCTCACCAGTCAATGCTCTTTTAGATTCCAATCGTAATAATAATCGATAAAGTTAATTAGTGTTTAGTACTTTCGAAAGAGATCCAAGACTGAGCTGTAAATTCCCAGCACGGCGCTCACCGTGCCCAACGCCACAATTCCGATGCTCAGTGAAGTCTGCGAGAGAAGCAACAGATCAATCAGCCAAATATTCCTTCAATAACAATGGACAAAGCAAATGATAACGCAAGGAAAGAGTTAAAAATGGTGGTTCAAGTTCAAGTATCGTGTCAATGTTCGTGAACAACAATCGTGTGTTGCGTGTGCCTAAGAGAATAATGTCATACTCGAGAAAGCTCAACAAGGCACAGCTTGTTAATCATAGCAAATGAATTTCAACTATAAAAAAGTACTTAAAATTAATCAAGCCAAATAAGCTCAATTCGATACGACAAACAATCATCTTAGATTGGCTCAATTAACTATATTGTGTTTCATGACCAATGTTGGAAGCATATAAGGTTATGTTCATATTAAGGCAGACATATTTGCACATTTAGAGATGTCATATGAGCTGCTCAAAAACTCAGCTCATTCATTAAAAGAAAAAAAAAAATTTTAAGCAAACGACGAATGCATTGTCTAAACACAAGGCCACATATAGCTTCATTCCAATATTTGTTGCTATGTGAGTGCACATGTTATTGTTGTGTTGGGGTGGGGTGGGGTATTCAGAGAGTTGTCGAGCTTATTACCTGCACTGGGGTGGCATTCTTGCCGATAATTCTCAGGAAGCATAATGCCGGCATTATTACAGCCTGTGAATATTTATGCGCAAAACTTGTCAAGCGAACCATGAAGAAAAAATGCAGACACAAAAATAGGTAACCACGAGGAAGATTTAGGTACCATGAGAATACTGAAGAGAGAACCAATTAGCGACATCAAAAGTCCTGCAACAAAAAAGTTGCCGAGTCAAAGTAACAGAAAGATCATAAGTTCAGACAAGATGCTACTATGGCATGTAAGATAACAACCCACCAAAAAATGGAATGACGAATGCAACAAGGACAGAAGAAGCAACAAGTGCTACCCGAATGAGAACAAAACATGAGTAATTGTTAGCCAAGTGAGAAGGCAACAACTCTTCCAAACTTCTGGCGAGAGGATTCATCAACAACGAATATGTACTTAGAGTTAAGGAAAATATGAGGATAAAAGGGAACAACACTATATGTTATATCATTACATGTAGATATGACGTAAAGGAGTTTAGTAAATCGATAGAAGGATATTTGGTGAGCGGGTTGATGATCTGCAAAAGAGACAAGCAAGAACTTACTACACTTCAAAAAAACGAACAGAGCCAATGTTCGAAAAAGCTAAAGCTACGGATATAGAATCAGGACTTACTGTTGTCCATATCGCAACTTGAGAACCAATGGTATTTGGGGGTAAATTTAGAGTAATTTGGGACTTTGTATCATCGCCAAACATGAGGATGCCCATAATTGCAGCACCACCGTAAAGGGAGACACATATAAGGAAACTGCAATACAACAAAAAGACAAATGCAATGTCCTGCACCATCAAAGATCAGTTTTAATAGCTTGTTAAAGATCATGGTTCTATTACCTTGCTACTAGAGCCTTGGGAAATTGTCTTTTATCAGCCATCGACTGATAAATGTTTGGAAATACAGAGTGGCCTGAGTAGCAGTAGCCATAGACGCCGAGGGCAAAAGGTATGCCTTCCAATTTTACTACCTTAGCACTGTGATGAAATCCAACTCCGCCAATGGTGCCAACATAGAGTATACAAAGAACTATCAATACTGTTGTAATGACACCACTCGCTGCAACAAAAGCACAACCATCATTCAAGATTAGGCAATTGAAAAAGAACAAGAGCGGAAGCTAATAAGCGAAGTTGTTTAGGACACCTGAGAGGTAAGAAATCAGGCGCAAATCTTTTAACAAGCACGTTGGTAAAATGATGATCGCAACGAGAATTGCAAACAAATGATTGGAATCCAATTCAAAGCCAAACATATTGAGTGATGTTCCAGGAAATATAGTAGAAAGGTTGTCCCCTTCCAAGTTGATATATTCCACACAAGAGCACTGTATTAATCACAGGTATCAAAAGCCCGGCTACGTAATAAAAAAATATGGCAAAGAAATCTACAGATACAGGTTTAGAAGCTTGCTTACATATAGTTCTGAGTATAATATGATCTGCCAAAGAAAAACGGAAGAAAATCATGATAATGTCACACGAAAAGGCTAAAACTCTGCAAGATAGTATTTATACAGCAAAATGATATGTTTCTTTTTGTTTGTTAGTTGATTCATTCAATATCCGAATCATTTCATATGATAAGTGCAGAATATTTCAACAAAAGAATTGTATGATTTTTTATGTAGGAATATAACTTCGATCGACTTACAGAAATTAAAAAGCGTCCCCATTTCCCAAATGCTGCTTCTCCCATATCAGGAAACGTCATTATCCCTTGGGTGCTTTCGAAACAGCGAATCATAAGGGTTGCAGTGTAACAACAGACCAAACCAAACATAATAAGAACAAGCAAGCTTATCCAACCACCCTGTTTCAATGTATATGGCATGGAAAGAAGTCCAACACCAGCCATAACATTAACACCTGCATTGTTCAGGAAGATGGAGATGAGAAAGACAAGAACAGTAGGGAGAACAAGAAAAAACTAAAACGCTTCATTATATATAGCTCACCATTGAATATAGTCTGGACTAAGTTACAGCCATAGCTTAGCGGCAATTCTCCAGTTATCTGCTTACGTATATTACTCCTATTAGACATTGTCGACAGTGTCCTCATTCTATCAAACTCTTCTCGCCAATGCCCTTTCTTAATGTCACTGCTAAGCAAGGGTACCCTTCCAGATACTTCCGAGAAATTTTGGCTGTTAAATATTGAACCGAGCCTTGAACCAAAGATAGAGCCACCCATGCCTGATACGGGGATAATCGACCCAAAGTTTGGTGCCGCAGCTATTGATAAATAATCAGTAGTCTCTCTGGAAATTAACCAAGATGTCAGCATCAAGTGTCACAAGAAATGGATCCTCTGAAACCACTTCACTAGAAACTTCCAAGAATTCAAGAACAAAGCACTTGAAATTAAACATTATGCAACATTGCAAAAGCATACATAATCTAATCTTAGAAAGACTGTTGTTTTCAAAACATTAAGAAAGTGTAAGTGCCAAAGCAATCATTAGATCCGAAACTGTGTCTTTACTTCATAGTTCATGTTGGTTTCTAAAGATATGAGATGTACTTATAAGTATCTATGGATGCAGAGTTAATTGGTTTCTGAAACATTCTCTCTCTATATATAGTGCTGATTTTAGTTGAATCTAACACTTTGCAAGAACACTGTCGTAAGAATGAGCAGTGTATAAACAATGAGAATCACGAATACATCAGATCAAACTCACATTTGCATAAACATTGATACAAGTCAAAGTCTAAGGAAAAACTAAGCAGATTTGGATAAACATTCCGATCGAGATCAACTTTCCGAAACCCTAATTTGACCCCTAATTTCAAAATCCATTCGATCCGTACCTGAAGCTCTGCGGCCATTGCTGCGAAACGGAGGAAGAAAATCTCGAAACTCCGGCGCCGTCATTGTCGACGGAGCCGGTGCCATCATCGTCTTCTTCTTCGTCGATTCCACTCCCCTCGTCATCGGACTCGCCGTCCTCCAGATCGAGATCCTCCGCGTCCCGCTTCTCCGTCGCCATCTCTGGTCCCCTAATCAATCAATCAATCGGACACGTAGCAAATAAACAACAAACTGAAATCCCCTCCCCCGCTTGGCCCCGCTTTAATTAAATATCGAGCAGCTCTTTTGCAGTCCTTGAGATACGGAAGTAAAATCAATCAATGGATCAATCACATGGAGGCTGGCTGACGCCCGAGCTGCATGCATCTAACACGTCGTCTGGGGAGTACGCATCTCAACTATTCTTAATTGTGCTCCCTCTCTCTCATAATTGGAATGTAATGCGACAGATAGAGAGAGAGAATCGGCGACGATGAGGGTTCCCTTATTCCTTGGGGCGTGGATTAGTCGACAGGTGTCGGAGAGCGGGAAGAGACAAGCACAGTGGTGGTGACGAAGATCATACTCAAAAAGACAAAACCTGCTGAATGCTTCCAATGTAAGCGGATCCCATTTCGTCACTGTCGTTCCCGATTTTGCACTTTCCTCCCTCAACAATCTATTAATTTCTTTGCACTACCAGCCTTTAAAACAAATACTCCTACACATATGGATATTTGAAATCATCATAAATATATATACATATAATACAATTATTGTAATTTCAGTAAAAATAAACTTACCCAATCTGCAAATATATATATATATATATATATGTGGATTGGACACGGATTTTAATTTGTATAAGTTAAAGAGTATATAATATTTTTTCCTTTCCTAGAAAATAATAATAATAATAATAATAATAAATAACATAAATTTGATGGACTAAGAGTATTACATTATCTCCTATATATCATATTCAAACAATTATCTAATTCAAAATTAAATTTCAAAATCAAACAGATTATCTGTTGACATAAAAACATTCATGAAAGTATTTATCTTTGTACTTTGCTATTTTGTTAAAAATTTATAATTTTATATTTTTTTACTTTAAACAAGCAACGAAAAATGACAATATAAATTTTATTAGTGATACGATATTTAATATAATATTTCCTTCACACGCCTTTAAGTATCACATTTACCTTTTGCGTCATTGTACTTAACATTAAAAATATCATTTTATTTATATAAATTTTTGTACAAATGTCATTCTATTAGTATTATGAGACACTGATGGAACTATTTTTGCAATTTTTTCTTAATTTGTATTATATTTTGATATAATAATTAATATTCAAATATCAACTTGCAAAAAGTAAACGAGACTTTTAGAGCCGGACAAAGGTAAAAATATTTAATTACTTAATAATAGTGAGTTATAATATTACTTTTTTTTTATCTTTTTATATAATTAATAATATTGATAATTTAATATATATGATAAAAACTTTAGTAAATAAAAAAAATGTTTATTTATTCATTAATATAATTTTTTTTTTGATCGGATATTCATTAATATAAATTAATTTTATAAGATGTAGATTTTTAAATGTAGAGAAAAATATATATATATATATATATCGCCGTGTTTTTTTAACACTATTTTTCAATTGCGATTCAAAAAAAATAATAAAAAAAATATAATATTTTATATAAAAGTCAAAATACTCTTTATAAAAAGTCAAAACATTACAAAAAAATTAAAAAATCAAATATTCAATTCAAAATAATATATTTTATATTTTTGACACAATTCTTACTACTACACATCAAAATTGATTTCATCCAAAAAAAACGCTGCTTGAACGGATCAATTTATCTTTTGAAAGTGAGATAGAAAAAAAGAGATTTTGATAAATGAATTTGAATGATTCACCTTATGTATAATATTACTTATATATAGTTATATTTGTTAATATATTTTAATTTAGTAATTTTTATCCAAATTAAAAAAATATCAATTATTATAAGATAGACAAAAGATAATACTAATAATAATCATAATTTGTCAAATAATATGTCATTGGAGGAATACTACTCAAAAAACTATGTTAAAAATAATCAAAATAAAAATAAAATGACATAAGTGGTATATATGTAACACGAATTATATATATTATTAATTAAAAATTCTATAATAAATTTTATACTATAATATAATTTGTTATACTTTCCCCTGCCTATAACAACAGTAATATGTTTTTTATTTTAGTAATTTGAAATATTTTTATTTTAGTAAATTTAATAGTTTTAAATGTATTTAATAAATATAAATCAATTTAGTTAAATTTTTTATATTTTTATTATTAAAAATTCATTTATTTTTATCTCTTCTAATAAATAAATATTTTTATTTATATATAAAATTCTTTATTTTATTTTAAAAATTAGTTTTATTTAATCATAAATACATATTTTTTTATTTATTTGTATTGTATAAACTTTGATTCTTTATACAATGATATTTTATAGTATATTTTATTTGTATAGTATTTAAAATATTTAAATACATATTTTAATTTTTAAATTATATATATTAATTTTTATTTTAAAAAATAATAAAATAATATTATAATCTAATATAATTAATTTATTATTTTAAATACGGTATTGGTAACCAAATGCGTCGTCTGTATGTTTCCGGACGGAAGAAGTATTTATTATAAAAAAATATTTTCCCCACCCAGAATAAATGATGTAGGAATAATAAATAAGTCAAATGCATAGTGACGGTGAATGAAGAAGATCGTGATGGGAGTAGGTGCAGCAGATGACATATGACATGACGTATATATTATGGACGACACAATTATGCTACGGTGTTTTTGTTTGGGGGATTGAATTTTAAATTTATTATTCATTTTATTTTTTTTTAAAAAATATTAAATTAAACACTTATTTTTTATTTTTTATATTATACTAAAAATTAATTTTATATTCAAAACATCACATCAACACCTATTTATATCACATCATACAACTATTCAAATTCAAAATTTTTACTATTCATATTCCAACTCAAAATCCAAAGCCCAAACAAACACACCCATAATCTTTTATTATTATTATTATTATTATTATTATTATTTAATATATTTATTTATAAAGACATGCTATTAGGGTGGTGGAAGTGGAATACAACTCATCATCGTGTGCTCTCTCTACAATCTTCCAATATGGTTCCGTTTATATATGATATAAGAATATAACCTTACTGTATTTAATATATGGTATAAGAATATAACCTTAATGTATTTAAGATGATTGTGATGATTTTGGGTATGTGACACTTGAAAATATAACCAGGGTGTGTTTGTTTGAAAGGATTTTGGTGGATTTTTAATATTTATCCCAATTTTTTCCTCCAAAAATATGAAATCAAACACCTATTTTTTATTTTTTATATTATACTAAAAATCAATTTTACATTTAAAACATCACATCAATCCCTATTTATATCACATCATACAACTATTCAAATTCAAAATTTTTACTGTTCAAATTCCAACTCAAAATCCAAACTCCCAAACAAACACACCCTAAAATGTATTTAATATGATTGTATTTAATATGATTGTGATGATTTTGGGTTTGTGATTGTTGGAGGCTCAGAACATTCAACCCGACTCGTTTATTCTAAACTCGGATTTGGTACCCGCGATTCAACCCATTTGTGTTGAGACTTGATGGCTGCTGTTGAATTTAGGGATTTTATATGGGCCGGTGGATTTGATTACTAGTATGATATCTATATGTTGGTTCTCCTCCTGAACTCGGTTGAGCTCATTCTCATCCTGCGACTTTCTCTCTTTAAAATCTCTAACCTTCCGACTACGCTTTCAATCGATCTTCCTTGGGTGTTCTCTGGTGATCTGTCCGGCGAATCTGAAGCTCCGATTGCTAGCTTCGATATTCAGTCTGTGTTGAGGCTGTTCTTCGGTTTGGTTTCTCGATCTTTGCCTTCTTTAATGTTCGTGGTGTATTTGCCAGTCCATGATGAGATTTGGCTTAGATTGATAAAGTTTCCGTAGATTGCGATTCGATTAGCGTGTTTTTGCGTTTCTGTGGATGTCCTATGTGGTTTGGGTCGAGGTTGAGTGTTCGTGTTGGTTTCGGTTGATATATTTGAATAAAACTGAGTTTGAACTCTTTTGATTTCGAAATATATAAAAAATTATTTAGTTTTCTTTTAATTTCCACACGATTATGTGTGAATAACAAGTTAAAGAATATACATAACAATCATATTTTAGAGGCAAGATGAAAAATTTATTTTAAAATCTTATGTTGTTAAGAGTTTTAAAATAATATAATATTTAAATAAAAATAAATATTTAGTATAATATTTTTTAAAGAAATTACAATGACAATTAAAGTTACTTGAAAATAAATGTGTCCTAACTTTTTAATATTGTGTTCCTTTATATAATTTCATAAATTTTTACTATTTATGAAAAAATTTGTCTTAAAAACTATTACATGAATAATTTATTTTTCATTTATTATATTATATTAAAAATTAATTGTGCATTCAAAATATAATATTAATATCCATTTAAATCATATCATATACTCCCTCCATCCACCTCTAAACGTCATACTTACTTTTTGCATCATTGTACTTACATTAAAAATATCTTTACATTTGTATAATTTTTTTTTTTTACAAATGTCTTTCTATTAGTATTATAAGACAGTGATGAGAGTATTTTTGTAATTTTTTCTTAATTTGTACTATATTTTGATATAATAATTAATATCCAAATATCAACACGCAAAAAGTAAATAAGATCCTTAAAATCGAATAGAGGTAGTAATTATTTAAATCTAATATTTTTACTATTTTATCACACAGCAAAATCAAATCCTCCAAACAAACACACCTTCAAAGAAAATGTTAAAAAGATTTGAAGGAGAAAATAAATCTATAAAGATGGTCTGGAAAGGTGCAGAAAGTTTAAAGAAAATGTTAAAAAGATTTGGAGGAGAAAATAAATCTGTAAATATGATCTGGAAAGGTGTAGTGCTTTCTGCTTCTTCTTTTTTTAAATAAAAAAAAAAAAAAACGGCTGAAATATATCTACTCTGAGAGTAGCTCAAAGTATATGATTACGACGGTCAACTTAATTATACTGAGAATATTGTGTAGCAATTATGATTGGCAATATAATTGCTGAAATTATTATTATTATTCGGGTAAATTATATAACATTCTTTGAATTTTAGTAAAAATATACAAAATTTTATGTATTTATTTATTGCGTAAATTCAGTTATATTAATGTAAAGTTTGAATGAAATATTCTCCTTGGTTTTGATGTTTGGTTCTAAATAAATGTTAAAATTACACAAATTTTATACAAAAAAAAAAAAATTATTTAAGATATTTTGGGGTTTTATTTGTATAAAATTGATGTAATTTAGGTATTAAGAACCAAAGATCAGTTTTGGACAAAAATGGTAATTTCGTACAAAGTTTACATTAACACAAAAAAGTTTCAAGTAATAAATAAAATATAGAGTGTTTTGTGTATATTTACTAAAATACAAAAGTGTTATATAATATAGTCTTATTATTGTTGTTGTTGTTGACGGCCAACTTTATAAATTACTCTATTCATTCCATATGAAATTTTCAGTTTTTTTTTTATTTTTTTATTTTTAAAAATATGATTATACATTTTAATTATATTTAAATTTTACTCTAATTTATAAATTTTTTTATCTTAATTATATTATTTTGTTATCATAATTTTACGGGGTGTATTCATTTAGGATTTCGTGTAAGATTTTGACATACTTTTGAAATATGAATATATTCAATCCAAATTTTTAAAAATCCTTTGAAATATGGAGGTCAATCTATATTTTTTTTAAAAAAAAATTAAAAATCTGAATGTATTTAATCTAAATTATTTAAAAATCTTTTAAAATTCTGATATTCAACAATTTATAAATTTTAAAAGTACGTAGATTTTAATGAAAATTATGAAAAATTTGTATTATATACAATCTTTCCTAATGAGCTGAAATTTTAATCAATCTTTGAAATTATATTATTATTATTATTATTATTATTATTATTATTATTATCATCGGTGTATAAGTATTACATATTATTATTATTATCATCATTAGTATATAAGTCTATTCAATCAATTTAATTTATTTTTAATCTCAGATAGCCTGGTACCCGGCTCATCCATAGGAGATGGTCTAGCACCGGCCAACTCCGGGGGTATTAGATCCTCCCCATACCCTAGGAGACAAGGGGTCACTCATCCTCAAATTACTTTAGAGGAAACACGTTTAACTCTAGAGTTCTTTCAGTAAGGCTTCCGAAAAAGAATATACACATTATTGACATGAGTAGTCTATTCCATCCATTTAACATATATTCAATCTTGGATGGCCTGTCACCGGCTCATCCATGGGAGTTTCTTAGCATTGGCCCAACTATAGGGGTATTACATCATCTTAACAAAATCAAGTGGAATCTAGATGGCTTCTCGGAGTACCTCTTCTACCCACACAATTGTGTTGTCTTTTCTAAAGATCTACTTCCCTCTCGTGTTGGACTTACCGGAGTACCGTGAAAAAAGTGATGTCACCATCAATTTTCGTCAATATGTTAACATCGATAGCTTCCGTCAGACTTCTCACTCGATTTTTGCATATTTTATTTGTTCTCGCTATAATTTTTATTTTGTGAAAGTAACACTGATTTTTGTTTCAATTTTGGTGTAGGTTTCATTATCTTTAGTTTCAATACATGGGAACTTTGATTAACGTTGTTAAGGTATATCAAAGTATATTGTTTTGAACATGAGGTTTAAGGTGAAAATCATTATGAGTGTCTTAACATGTTGGATTTTGGTAATGTTTTACTGTTCCGTTTTGAGACAAAATCCAACAGAAAAATCCTATAAGTCGTATTGATGAGGCTATTCTCACGTAGACTGGAAAGGCTGCCAGATTCCTCTGCAAGAGCAGTTCTTCCCTCGTGAATATTAATTCCCCCACCTAATTTCCAATCTTCACCCTATAATTAACCATTGCATGTGTCGATTTGAGATCTTGGGGACGACGGAGATGGCACAACCGGGGAAGGAGTTTCGCTGTTACCGTCTGGTTTTTCCGATTTCCCGGCGCGTTTCTGGGAAGTTTTCCGCGAGACGCCGTGCAACCACCGTTTGCGACTACAGACCAAGTACAAATCCCTTCGCCGTCGATTTTCTGGTTTAGCCGTCAGATCTGTGTTTGTGAGGTTAATTTCTGGTTAAATTTCATATGGAGTTTAACAAAAGCGGAAGGTTAGTTATTACTACGTACCCGCGCAGTCGTTCCACATTAACATGGTTAATTTACTCTATCCCTTACATTTTCCATCCGAAGTCTTTGTTATTGGTGTCCTTCGTACCAGAGAATGTCTCGTGGGAGTCGCAGTAGTCAGCCTACAAATGTTGTCCGGGCAAATTGGACATACGAGCAGGAGGAGACCTTCATGCACACCCTATGGGAGCAATTTCAGGCCGAAAACCTTGCCGGCACGAACTTTGCACCCCCTATATGGACTATGATAAGGGCGGAGTTCATCCTACAAACTAATACACCTTACTTGATAGCCCAACTACAGGAGAAGCTAAGAAGGACTAAGGATGCATACAACAAGCTGAAGAAGCTTGTTGTCCATACAACGGGCCTAGGGTGGGATGCAAGCACTGGGTTGGTCGCAGCTGATGAGGAGCGTAAAGTCGATTGGATTAGGGTAATGAATTTACAATACACATTCCATTCCGGGTTTCTTACAATTTCCACCTTTTCCAATCTGACCCATGTAAGTTGGATTAATATCCAGCAAAACCCTAGGTTCCGCCATCTCCTGACCAAACCATTTGCCCATTTGGAGTACTGTCACGAGATGTTTGGCAAACAGCCACGGGGGGAGAGGGAACTGTAATTCCTGGGTTTGAGAGTGCTATGAACGGTCCGAGTGTTGCTGGTACCAATGATGTTGGAGGGAGGAGCTGGCGAGGACGTCGTACAAGTGAATCAGATTTTGCAATGGGCTTTGCTGGCATTGGTTCCGCAGATATTGGGTCGCCCTCAATAGGGGCCGGACTATCGCGTCGCCCGGTGCGACACCGGGGGACCTCTTCGCAAACTGAGGAGCTGCGGCAGGTTCTTAGCGAGGAGATGGCTGTTATCGTAGATAGGGTGCAAGAGAACACACGATCCATTGTTAGTAGGCGGGAGGAGACTGTGCAGCTTGCAAGGGAGGCGCTAAATGCCCTGACTGACGTCCCTGGCCGAGCCATTAGTACGGCTCGTACGCATCTCCTAGTACCTGAAGTTCACGAGTTTTTCTTGCACTAGACGCCTGAGGGACACCGTAATTGGGTTATGGAATTCGCCCCAGGGCTTCCCACTACTCGGGAATGATTGATTTTTGGTTACGTGTGTGTTAGTGCTACAATTTACGTACTTGGATGTGTCCCTGTTAACAACCCGTTACGTTCATTTTCAAAGTTGCAACGTATTGGGACGGATATTTGTCTGTAGGTGCTGCAACATTAGGTTGTACGATGTGGTCTGTAAGACCCCGACACGTTTTCCCCACTATGTGCTATGTGTCGAGACGGGTCTATGAATCTAACTCCGAACTAGTGAAATTTGTTGTTACTTTGTATCGTTGTTCCGTTTGTTTACCTGATTTGGGCAGCGTCAATAAAATATGTGTTCTCGTTCTGGTCAATGCGAGTACCTACTATCCTAAGTATTTCCCACGGCCGGGTTTACGTGCAGGAATGTCTTCGAGTAGTAATAGCAGCGGTGACGAGCAGTACGTTGCTGCACTAGTGCTAGGCGAGCAGGAGGACGATGATGCACGCACACGGGATGACTTAGCCATAGTTACAGCTATAGGGGCTACCACAGTGACGTTTCTATGTTCGAACCCACGGCCAGTGCGATGCTACGACTCTGAATTGACCGGGGTTGCATTCACTTACGAACTGCTTAACGGGCACCCAGTGCGAATATAGAACTTATTGCGTGTGTCGGCAGACACATTTCGGGATCTCTGTCAGACACTCATTGATCGGGGATTCCTTAAGGTACATTTGCGAAAATGCGTTAAAGTGCACGAGCAGGTGGCCATGTTTCTATATACGGTTGCACACTCGAACCGTCAGCGTTCCACCGCAGAACGATTTCAATATTCAACGAAGACAGTGTGGCAACATGTGGTGAGAGTTGCAGTTGCGATCCGCAAGTTAGCTCCTGAATTTATTAAACCCGGTGCATGACGGGAATACTGCAAAGGATCCGAGGGTCCTCCGCGTTCTGGCCTGTGTTCCAGGTAAACGCTTTAAGGAAAATAAAGTGACCTCTCCCGAGTAAGACGGTATCGTTCACCTTTTCCACTTTTTTGGAGCAGGATTGTGTTGGGGCTCTAGATGGGACACTAATACACGTTTCAATCCCGGCTGCTCAGCAGCCGCAATTTCGTTCGAGGAAGGGTGATACAGATCAAGCTTGTCTGGCAGTGTGCGACTTCAACATGCGATTTATTTACGTGTTGGCAGGTTTTGAAGGAAGTGCTCATGACTGTCGAGTGCTTTGCCACGTTATAAACCACCATGGAGACTTCCCATTCCCCCCAGAAGGTGTCCGTAATTTTTAAGTTCTACACGTTCTTGAACCTATACGTTATCTGAACGTCTTCTTACGTGTCCGTACATCCTTGCGCCCTTGCAGGGAAGTACTATCTAGGAGACTCTGCGTATATGAACGCTCAACAAATATTAACTCCCTTTCGACAACACCGCCACCACCTTGCACAATTTCAACAGGCAGGTTCTGGTCCACGGGGCAAGGAGGAGTTCTTCAACTATCGGCACGCGCAACTGAGAAACGTCATTGAACGTGCATTTGGTTGCCTGAAACGCCGATTTGCAATACTTCGTTGCCCCATGCATGACTTCGCCCGACAGGTGAACTTTGTAGTCGCCTGCGTTGCGGTGCACAATTTCATGCTACACCACGATGAAGATGTAGCGGATTACTCCATCGAAGGGCATGAGTCATAGGAGGAGGAGGAGCATCCACTCATGCAGGGATTCAACCAGGTGACTCCCAACCCCAATCGGGATGACATTGATGAGCAAACTGAATTTCGTATGCACCTTACCGACTGGTTATGGGAATTGCACCATAGGGGTGGCAATGTTGGCCCCTCCAACGGGCAGGAATAGTTGCCCCATGCCGTCACTGTAGGTCACTATCACTTCTTTATGCTTCAACAACTACACATCGCACTCTATTGTTTTCCCTTAGTGCGAAGACTACTTCAGCCATAATATTCATCATCGTAATGTTTCATTTATGCTCCCGTTAGCCGTAGTGAAGTTCTGAGTTGTTGGACTTGTATGGCATGAGAGCTTCAATTCTGGAACTTATCGCAGAAGCTGCGCAGCCTGCGCAGCTTCTGGGTTATTTCGCTGGAAAAACAACGCAGGTCTTGGCGTACTCAGGTGTATCCAACGATTTGCCCCTTCTGTTGCACAACCCGTGGTGACCTTAAACTTTATTCGTTGTTGTGATCCTATTTCATAAATCTTTGCGAGCTTCTTAACTGCACGTGATTGTTTTTATTTCATGTTATCGTAGTACTGCGACCATTCGTTTTTACAATGCTTTGTTGTAGGTTACAGCATGGGCCCGAAGGTCGTGCGTAAAGCTCTTATGGGATCACAGTTGCGGTCCACTTCTCGGAAAAGGCCTGCATGTGAAGCAGATGATGTAGTGATGACCCCGTTCGAGCAGTTACGAAACATTGATGCTTCAGTTAAACAGAAGTACGAGAGATTTTCGCAGATACCGTTCCTTGTTGGTGGCTTCATTGACGATGATGCAATGGCGGCTACGGGGGCAATGGGGGACATTGATAGATTTCTCCAATGCGGAGCTTGGCATCAATTCTTTGAGATCAAGGAGCCAAGGTTTAGAGATTTGACAATGGAGTTCTTATGCACATTCGAATGAGACAAACCAAACATCCACCGATATGATAAAGCGGGGACCATTCAATTTCGCCTAGGAGGGAAGGAGTTCTTGATGTCTGTGACAGAGTTCTCGATAGCGCTAGGCCTTTACGACAGGGACTTTACACTAACGACGGAGTACGGGAGCATGCTGCATGACATGCCATTGTCTCCGCAGGTGTATTGGCCACGTATTAGCACCTGTTTAAGCTTCAGCCCTGGATGCTCAAAGGCATCGAAGTTGCGTTCCGCTCCTCTCAAGTACGTTCACAACATCCTTGTCCATACTATCGCAAGTCGGAAGGAGGCTACCGCCGCAGTCAGTAAGTTCGATTTGAACTTGTTATGAAGCTTGAAGGAAGGGGTGCCCATCCATTTAGGATATTGGTTGGCCCGACTGTGCATTACAACGACAACGGATACTCGAGTAAGATCTATACCAGTTGGCCCGAGGACTTGGGCTGACGACACTTCTAGGGGGCGTACCCGACACCGAAATGGTTCCTTGCGGGATAGAGACGTTGTACTACATGGGCTTACTACAACGTCCATGCCAGGATGATCCGGGGACCCATGGGAGGCCAACCCCTGCCTGTCAACCGGACGATGTCAACGACCGGCTCGACGATATATCTGAAAGTTTGGCCAGGTTGGAGACGGAGGTCGGTGTCATGCGGAGCGATCTCCGTGAATCGCAGAGTCACATCCTTGAAGTCAATGGGGACATGAAGGCGATGTTGGACATGTTCCGCAACGGGGAGTTCCGAATCGTGCACGGAGTTGTAGGAACTACTGCAAGGGCGTCGCGTGCACAGGCGGACAACTGCCCTTAATTCGATGAAGCCGCACCTTTCGTGCAGAAGCGATTGTGTGATAGTAGATCGCAATCCCTCTATCAAATCTCTTATTTTGTAAGCATGGATTAACGTTTGTAGTAGCATATGTCGTCCACTATTTTTGTCGTAGGATTATGGGCATCGGCTAACGTAGAGCTCCGTCTATCGGCGCGGCTTTTCCGTTGCGTGTATTGTCACAGCTTCGCGTAACTTTGATCACGTTCTCGTTTTTGCTGCATGGACTGGTCTACTTATGGCATGGTTCTGCATACATGAATTCTGCAACTCTATGTCAACCTTTTGTCGTTCCTATAATGTACCTTTAGTGGTTAATTTCTTTATTGGAATTTTCCACCTTGGTTGTGTGTTACGGTAATTTCTAACCAGGCATTTGTTGCGTGGGTAATGGCCAACATAATCGGTTGCCAGCAACGTGTATGAATAATTTATTTTGTCATGCCAACTGAAATAATACACGTTCCATTTTCCCAAAAATTCAACTTCTGTTTCGAATTTAAGCAAATAATTCAAAACATCCTTTAAGTAAATGAATAGAAGGAGATAAAAGAAAATTCCAACATAACCCATTTACTTTGGATTTTGCATCCACTATTTCTCGCACTTTTTTCCCCGTAAACATCAAATCAAACACCAATTTTTCACTTTTTATATTACAATAATAAACAATTTTACATTCAAAATATCACATCAACTCCTATTTATATCACATCATACAACAATTCAAATTCAAAATTTTAACTATTCAACTCTTAACTCAAAATCCAAATCCCCCAAACAAATACAACCTTACCATTTCATATATTAATATTATATTCAAAAAATTTTTTAATAATTAAAATATTAAACTTACACAAACATACCATCACATCTTTTCATCCAATCAAACAACAATCATTACACCTCATATAATCATTAAAATCAAATCTTAAAAATAAACACTTTAAAAATCATCCTCCAAAATATTTCAAAATCAAAATAAAAAACCAAAATACCACAACTAAACACAACCAATGTTTACTTATAAGATATTTTCACTTAACTTCTAATTTACAATTAGTAAAGGAAATATTAGAAATTCTTTGAGAACATAAAGTTCATGTGTTTTATCTATTGAGTGCAAATTTACACATACTTTTATCTATTGAGTGATAGATTTAGTGTGAAATGAGTAGGTTCATAAAAGGCTTGGTATTAGAATGGATTTTCTAGTTGTTCTTGAGAGTAAACTTTGATTGAATTTAAAGAGATTGAAGATCAAAGTTCAGAACTTTCATATTGCAAAATAAATCAAATGAGCGAGACAAACGAAAATTTAGATCGAGTTGCCTTGCGACAATTCGAACAACCATGGAGACACAAGCTTGTGTACAATAACCGGAATTTATAGTTTGCAAATCGGAAAAAAACTGAATAAAAATATTGCAGTGTTTGTGTTTGTTTGGAAGATTGGATTAAATTTCCACTATTTATCCAATTTTTTCCCCCCAAAAATATCAAATCAAACACATATTTTTCATTTTTTATATTATACTAAAAATCAATTTTATATTCAAAACATCACATCAACACCTATTTATATCACATCATACAACTATTCAAATTCAAAATTTTTACAATTCAAATCCCAACTCAAAATCAAAAGCCCCAAACAAACACATAAATACAAAATATAACACATAAATACAAAATATGTGTTAAAATAATATTCTAAAGTAAATTTAATTTAAACTAAAAGTACACACAAAAATAAAAAAGAAATTGAAAACAAACCTAAGCAGAATGCATCCATAGTAAGGGAAGGTATTCATTCTAACAACATTTTCAAACACAAACACAAACATGAATATAGAAAAACATCGACCTTACAAATGTCCAAACTTCCGCAGTTCGCCAAGACACGGCACACTCGCGTATACGACCGCAACCTTTATTCAAATCGAACATATCCATAGACAAGAGACTCCGAAGAAATACACACAAGACATTTTTCCTTTCCACAAGACTCCAATTTTAGACAAACTGCAAAGTAATTGACATCACAGAATTTCAGCTTTTCGAAGTGTCTCATCATATCATAACCCGACCGCTAAGGCACGGAATGAATGAATGAATGAAGAACCTTCGCCAGCCATGAGAGAATACTACAGAGAGTTTGCTAGAACTTACTTTTTAATTCCACCAGCCACCCACCACCTCCCGATATCCCTCAAGGCTTGCTTACATCATCCCAGAGCAACTCATAATTTTCACGATCCATCCAGAGAGCCAATCAATCAATCCAAGGTTACAAAATTTCCAGTACTTCACCTATTGAAACCGTTTCAACCGATCCGGTAAGCTTGGCACAAGCTGCACGGCTAACAAACAAAGACATTCAACTGATATGGAAATATGTAAGAGCTGCAAGACATCAAGTTAGAACAATTAACATAGTAAAGGCAACTATTTGGAGAGAAAAAACAATCAAGCACAAAGAATCAAAGAACCAATAACTGTGTGACATAAGATAACAGAATTCCTAAAGGTTCCACGACAAGGTTAGTATGACAATTGATGTGTGAATAAGAATATGAGAATTCATGTGATTCACAGCAACCGCAGTGATTGAAACTTATGCTTTAATTACGTGATTCATGGCCGAGCATATTTAAAAATGAAGCATGCTTGTACAGATAAAAGGTCAGGTAACATGACAAAAAACAAGTAGTCGTATAGAGAGAGAGAGAGAGAGAGGGACCTATTCCACAGCATGTGCCTGCAACATTCCCAGACCACCATGCTCCATTAAAAACGTAATAACATCGGTCATTCTTCATCAGCAACCAACCATGGTATGTGCTGCAATAGATTGATTAAATTCATCTTTAAATAAGGTAATTTTGCAATTTAACCTCATGATAATGCGACTACTCCATAGCATGATGTCAACACCACATGAGATTTTCCTAATCAAAACAAAATGCACTTTCTACAAACAGCAGACAATCTTACCTTTTGTCATAATTTTGCAAAACTAAGATAATCCGACCACTCCATAGCATGATGTCAACACCACATGAGATTTTCCTAATCACAACAAAATGCACTTTCTACAAACAGCAGACAATCTTACCTTTTGTCATCAATGCTTGCTTTATCTTCTCACACAGTATCAACAAGCTTAAGATTTTCCTAAATCACAACAAAATGTACTTTTGCAAACAGCAGGCAATCTTACCTTTTGTCATCAATGCTTGTTTTATCTCCTCACACAAAGTATCGACCATCCCAGAAAGATTGTCCTTGATGCTGCTGTGGTGGCCCACCAGGCTGTTGGTTTCCCTTTTGAAATTGCTGCTGCTGCTCATGAAAATGCTGCTGAATATGTTCTAGATGTTGAGATTCTTGCCAGCCTTTGTGATTTTCAAGCTGAACTTGCAGCGGTGAGGCTTGCTTCCCGGGAAAAGGGAAATTCTCTATCCCCATGGAGCTATTGCTCTTACTCACAGAAGAAAATGAAGGATTGGTATGATTCATTGAAGAACTGAACCCGACATTTTGATTTGATGGTGGCATCTGATATCCATCCAACCAGCTATAATCATCCATTGGCAGAATGGGAGTTTCACTTCTTGGGGCCAAGTTGTAATGCGATTCATCTGCAACTTTGGAAGGAACAGAACCAAAACCAGGTGGTGGGCCGAGATGCCTAACTGGTCGGCCCACTGGATTCTTCTTTACACCTGGTGGCATGACTGAAGATGGCTTCACAGACTGCACATCACTGGGTGCTCCAGAGCAAACAATGGAACCAAACTTGGATAGCATAGCAGCTTGAGGGATCTGAGAAGAATAATTTCGGCTGCTTCCAGCATCCACAAACTGAGAGTAGGGTGAAGAAAACTTATCTTGCATTCCTAACGTATGTGAGACTCCATTTTCCATCAAAGGCAAATGGGCCAAGCCATTCATGATAGGAGGAACATTCTCTAGTGCCCACTTTGAGGTGCCGGGTTGGACTGACTGCAGATATGGAGAAGTGCCATTAGAAATAACTGCATCAGAACCAGTTAGAGCAGGTTTTGTGTTGCCCACGCTGAGTGCAGCCTGAAACAGACTATCATTGCCAGTAGAAAATGTCCCATTTTCATTCCAAATGTCGGTCTTGCCAGAACCACTGACAGAAGCAAGAACATTTGATGTAGAGAATTGTGACGAAAGATCATCAATATGCTTCTCATTGATGGACGGCTTAAAAACAATCACTTCATCGTCATCCTCAGCTTCCACAATTGTCTCTTTCACTGAAGTGCCTGCACCTACAGCCATATGCCCAATCACCGAATGGTCACCCACTTTGGGATCCGAATCATTGGTCAACAAAAAATCTTCAGAAACTTGGGGTTCAGCACCAAACAAAAATTTCTTATGCTTATAGTCGAAGTGAACACCCTCTTGGCCTATCCGAACAACATTAGCAAGAGCCTTTCCAGCTGCAACAATCCTTCGAACACGTGCAATCTTATCTTTATTGCCCAATTCAGTAACAAATGAGTGCTTTCTTGAAAAGTCAAGAATGAGTTGGGCAGGAAGAAGGGGAAGAAATCCTCTCAGTTCAAAATCCTCAGGTAATGCTACACGATTTGTAGTCTCACTCTCATCGTACTTGCTCATATTAGAGAAGCACGTTTCGTCATCATCTTCATTAACGAATGCATATCCACTTGTCAATAGCTTGTTCAGAAATGAGACACATTTTTTCCAAAAGAATGATTTTGCACTCACTTGCTTCTCCAGTTCATTACCAACTGCAACATCCTGATGACAGGCCAACCATTCCACAAAAACCATAATACCAGGCAGTAAGTAACTTGAAGAGGGGTCGTTTAATTGGCTACAACGATCAAGAAGAAAACCCATAAATTCAAATACAGCAGTGAAAGCATTTTGCAGCAGGACTGAACGCTGTAGAATATCTGCATATGACTGGTTTTCATGTTCCTTGTTCACATTGTACACAGTGAATATGAGAATGGCCACCATCCTGATAATTGCAAGTCTACATTCAGCAGCGTCGGAGCCAAAGTTGAACTCCTCATTTGGCCCAGATGAAATAAGTTCCACAACATCAGTTTTAACCATGGAAAGCACATCGTCAAATGTTTCCAGGCTGGGATCATAACAAAAGCACAAGTGTCAGTAATCAATACATCAGAACAATCTTTTAGTACTGTCATATAATTCAAACCAACCTCGTTCGCGTAAAGAGAATGCCATTCATCCTGATGAATCGAGTTATGAAGGCTTTCAGGGGTTCAACAGTAGCTGGAGATTTTTCCTTAACATCACTAGCTTCTACCTTCTCATCTTTTAAAGGAGGCCTCGGTTCTCCTTTGTTTCTTCCTCTGCCAGGGACCCTTGAAGTTGGCATCTTAGGTTTACTAGTACTTTTAGAATCCCCAAGCAATTGGGTAAAATTCTGACGATTCTGCAGAATGAAAGCACAATGCTGATTAAAACTAATGCTGCTGAAAAATAAATGTATTATGTTCAGAATCATTGTTGTCAATCTCGAATATCAGTATATAGCAGTTAGCCCTAAAATGCAATAACAAGATGACCGCTAATTGAAAACTTGAAAAATATAGTAAAAATACATACAAAAAATATTATATATGCAAATTTACAATCAAAATGCATATGGAGATCTATAAAATAATCCCATAACTATCATTCAAGCTAAATAAAACAAAATGTCAAGCAAATATACTTGGATCACTACTACTTTGATAGATAGATGATCATAGTTAATTTGATTCAAAATCTAATATTTAACTTTCTTCCTCATTTTCACTATCTTAAATACCACTCCAACCCGCACAGCCCATCTGCAATATGTAACATAATATACACAATATGATCAACTAAGTCATTTGAGTTTACACAAGCATAATTTTACCACATGTGTGCATAACACACCAAACATTTGCCAACATCATCAAATTAGCAACCTAATGTTTTAATTTCTTTACTTGTTATAATTCACAAATAGTACCTCAAGCAACATGAAGCTGATGATTAGTATGTGCAAATAGAGCAGTTACAAAATCCAAAATCATTGAGTAAATAGAAAGAGAAATAGAGTAAGCAATTTTTTATTTCACTAGCTGAGTTTACCTTCTCAAATGCAATGATTAAGTTGTCTCTTGCAGTTATGAAAGGACTTTCAACTGCCAGACTTCGAAAATAGCGATATATTGAAACCAACTCGTCATTAGAGTACCCAGCCAGTATAGCAAGCTGAACAGTGCATAAATCAATTTTATCAAACTGTCAAGAACAAAACACAATTGAACAAAACACAATCGAGGTTGTTAATATATGCTAACCTGATGATGGGGATTGCCACTTGAATGCCACAGTGAAGAAGCCTGCATATAGTAACTTGATGCTGCATCAAAATCTCGGGCCTTAGCATCCCCCTCCCCATATAATCCTTTGTAACGAGCAAGATCCCCCAAATAAATAAAGCAGCGATGACAAGACATCAAGCCTTTTTTCAACTCAGAGGATTTATTTCCATCTTTTGACATCGGAGTCTGATTATCTGAATCATCAGAAAAATATCCAAACGGAAGGCCATATTTTGCCCTTATCTTCAACATAAGGTCATGGTAAAATCCAGTTGCCTCAGAAAGAAAAGTTTTAAATTGAGTACGTATCTTTGTAAATCTCTCAGGTCCAGCACGAGCAGGACCTTTCCCATTTTGGGGTGCACCTGATCCAGAGGAAGCTAAGGCAGCATTGAACAGAACTCTTAGCTCTTCAATCCTTCTATAATGCAATTGCCATAGAGCATACTCTACATCATGCTGTTCAGAAAATTCATGGTCTTCAAGGATAATCGCTTCATAATTTTCTCGCATAGTTTGCCATGCGTTTGGATCTGAAGGGACCCGAGCCTGTGCAGCCTTTCTACGCTTGTTTTCCAACTCAACATTCTACAAAAAATGTGGAGTCATACCATTAAACAAATTGACATTAAGATTTGTTATAACTTATAACAAATCAAGTGAATATAAATATATATATATCTGAACAAAGTCAATGAAACACGAAAAAAAATGTTGTCTTTAATGATGCTCCAGGAATGGAAACTCATTTGTATCCTTCTACACGAAACAAAGATGAAGAAAAGCACACGAATCTTGGAAAAACACACCTTGTTGAAGAGGTGCTGCACACGCTCTCTAGATGAATTTTCTCTGTTGTTATCCATCGACGCAGTCATTTTCCATTAAAGAAAAGATTGCTGACATCAAGACTGCAGAACTCAACCTTTGTGCTCACATACAACATCTAATCCACAAGAAACTTCCTGAAAATAACATTTAATTAGAAATTAATACAGAAACAAGAAAGACGTAAGCAACAATCATCTGTGCAATACAAACTTCCATTTCAATCAGTAGACACGTGCACAGAAGGACTTCGTCTGAGTTGACATACCAAAAATAAAGATCCCAAGACTGGTACGAATAAATCCAACAATGAGCACACAATCAAGATATGATAGCCCACATTAGTGGGTAAATACCTCACGCAACAGCCGCAAAAGATAGCCCGTTTCAAACCGTAAAAACCACTACCTTGCTTAGATGTATAGCTTGAAAGGTCATATGTAGAAGTTTGAGCAGTTAGCATCAAGTTGTTTATACCGACATTTATTGTGATTGCAAAAACATATTGCTGTGAATCGAAACTCCTCAATCAATTTTTGAAAAGCAAAAATATGCAGAGAGAAGCTAATCCATCATTAAAGAGAGATTGTTAAAAAGGAACAAATAAAAACAAGCAAGAGACAGATAATAAAACCTCTAATTGAAACTGACCGACAACCATACCAAATTCAACCCTAACAATCACCATTTCACTCGATAAAAAAACTTCTCCAAATCAAAACTATCTGCAAAGAAATTCCGATCGACGAATAAAACAACAATAAATCATAAGTTTGACCAAAAAGATTAACCCACTTCAATTCTAAAATCCAACAGAAGTTCACGCATTGAACATTATAGCAACAAGAAATTGTGAAATTTTAATAACGAAAGATGAAAAGAAAATCACAAACCTAATCATCAAATAACAAACCCATAGACAAAAGACGAACCCCTAAACATCAAAACCACTCACCCGTCGATTCAAAAGCGCCAGATCTACAAAGATCCCACCGAAACCGCGCTTGATTACCCAAAATTAAATCCCCCAATATTTTCGCATTGAAAAACCGAGAGCAGCTATGGTGGGCTAGGGTTTCGAATTGAGGGATTTAATCGTGAAAATTATTTCGCTTGTTTCGCAAGAACTTAGGGGTTTTGCGGTGCCATGGATTGGCAAGAAGACGAAGATGAAGAAGAAAAGGAAAGGCGATGAATCGGTGGAACAATCGAAGAAATTTGGAAGAAGAGATGAAGACTTTCTGCGCTACCCTTTTCTTTCATTTTCATTTTCATTTTCTTTTTTTTTTTCTCGTATCGTGAAATTCATCGAAATTATTTTATTTTATTTTATTTTTGCGGTATGGTCCAATGCAGGATGCGGCTATGACTCGTTCTTCAATATAGAAATTTAGGATTTGTTTGGCTAATATTTATTTCCAATACCATTTTTAATGCTACATATTTATCTTTTAAAAAAATATAAATTAATATTTCGTATAAAATATATTTTTTTTCTATATGGGACAATTTTTTCATGTATCTTACGGTCAAACTTCAAATCAAAATATTGTTTTGTTCTTTTATCCAAAATTTTTAATATAAATTTTTTTAAAAAAATTAATATACTATACACTTATTATTTTTATATTACCTGTAAATCAAAACATAAAATAAACACACTCTAAACAAACACACTCTTAATTTAATTACAAATAATAATAATAATGCTAATAATGTTTTTTTAAAAACATAATATATAAATGATCAAAATTAAAATAAGAGAATTTTATTTAAATTTAACTTACAAGAATATAATTTAATTTGTTTATATATCCATTCAAACGGCAACTTACTATTTTTATATACTAAGTTTATGTTTTAAATATTTTTTTTATAGAAAATTTACATGTTCCGAGTGAAGTCCAATTTATTTAGGGTGGAATTGTTGCGAGGGTTTGGAATTTGGTTTAAAATTTAAATAATAAAAATTTTAAATTTGAATAGTATGTAATATAAATAGATATTGAAATATGATATTTTAAATATAAAATTAATTTTTAATATAATATAAAAAATAAATTTAATATTTTTAATTTATATAAAAAAAAATAATAAATAATAGAAATTTAATAAAATTTAATTTTATATATAATAATAATAAATAAATAAATAAAAAGTAGTTGGGTCACTCTTAGGTCTTGGCCCAAATAAGTACTCATGGATCTTTAAGATAAGAGAGGTATTTTCTTTCAAAATTAACCCATGTAAACCCAAACAAATGTGTTTTGATTTTGATTTCAAATCAAAATTATTACAATTACTATACTATTCTTATATAATATTAATATAATACTATTCGGTAAGTTTATAAATATATATAGGTATACATATATGTATATATATATTTGTTGAGAATATAATATATGTACGTATTATGATAAGTATGACATTTATATATATAAATATAGAGAGAGACAAGGGAGGGAGAGATGCTTTGAATAATGGAGATGGACAGTAGTTTTTCTTTATTTCAATTGCAAAGACTCATTACATGTATATATAGTAGTAAATGTAATTATTACATGACGACGTAGTATCTTGCTGGAATAAAAGCATTCATATATATATATATATATACGAATGGCCTACGTGTATACTTCGTAACACTCTCCTTTGTATGCTTTTATACAAAGAATGTGCCTCGTTAAAACCTTACTATGAAAAAACCCTGTGGGAAAAAAATCATAGTGAAGAAAAAAAGTACATCATTCTTGTATTAATGCGCTCTCCCTGTTTTGGACTTTATTTGATGTCTTTCATCCGACACATTCTAATTCCTTGCACTAGTTTGTTGAATGTTGCAGTCGGTAGCGCCTTCGTAAATAAATCTGTAAAATTTTCAGACGATCGAATTTGTTGCACATCAATTTCACCACTTTCCTGAAGATCGTGAGTGAAAAAGAACTTCGGAGATATGTGCTTTGTCCGATCGCCTTTAATATATCCTCCCTTTAATTGAGCTATACAAGCTGCATTATCTTCAAATAATATTGTAGGAGGTAATACATCATCAGAAATCAAGCCACAATTTTTCTGAATATGATGGGTCATAGATCTCAACCAAACACATTCACGACTGGCTTCGTGAATTGCTAAAACCTCAGCATAGTTTGAAGAAGTTGCTGTTATTGTCTGTTTAGCAGATCTCTAAGATATTGCGGTTCCACCACATGTAAATAAATAGCCAGTTTGAGATTTTGCTTTGTGTGGATCTGACAGATAACCAGCATCAACATAACCAATTAATTCATTTTGAGATTTACTCGAATAAAATAAACCGAGGTCATGAGTTCCCTGAAGATAACGAAAAATGTGTTTGATACCATTCCAATGGCGCTTTGTGGGGGATGCGCTAAACCTGGCCAGTAGATTTACTGAAAAAGATATATCTGGTCTGGTACAATTTGCAAGGTACATTAATGCGCCAATAGCGCTAAGATATGGTACCTCGGGGCCAAGTATTTCTTCATTTTCTTCTCTTGGCCTAAATGGATCTTTACTGGGATCAAGGGATCTGACCACCATTGGTGTACTCAGAGAGTAAGATTTATCCATGTAAAATTGTTTTAATATATTTTGGGTATATGTGGATTGATGGATAAATATTCCATTGTTCACATGATCCACCTGTAATCCCAGACAATATTTTGTCTTTCCAAAATCTTTGATCTCAAATTCTTTCTTTAGATATTCAACTGCAATTTGGATCTCTTTAGGAGTTCCAATTAAATTGAGATCATCAACATATATAGCAATAATGACAAATTTTGATCTATTTTTCTTTATAAAGACGCATGGGCATATTGGATCATTAGTATAACCTTCTTTTATTAAACGTTCGCTCAGACGGTTATACCACATTCGCCCTGATTGTTTAAGTCCATACAATGACCTTTTCAATTTGATGGAATATGATTCCCTTGGGTTTAATTTGTATGCTTCAGGCATATTGAATCCCTCAGTGACTTTCATATAAATATCAGTATCCAATGAGCCATAAAGATATGCAGTGACTACGTCTAAAAGACGCATATCGAGTTTTTCTCGCACTGCTAGGCTCACAAGGTATCTAAATGTTATTCCATCAACAACTGGAGTGTACGTTTCATTAAAATTTATTCCAGGCCTTCGTGAGAATCCCTGAGCTACAAGACGGACTTTATATCTCACAATTTCATTATGCTCATTTCTTTTTCGTACAAACACCCATTTCTATCCAACTGGTTTTATATCATCTGGTGTTTGAAAAATTGGTCCGAAGACCTCTCTTTTGTTTAATGAGTCAAGTTCTGATTGAATCGCATGTTCCCATTTTGGCCAGTCATTTCTTTGCCGACATTCATGAACCGATTTTGGCTCTGGATCCTCGTTTTCTTCCATTATATTAAGTGCTAAATTGTATGCGAAGGCATTATCAATAATTGCCTCTTTACGGTTCCAACATTTTCTTGAAGTAATATAGTTAATTGAGTTTTCAATAATCTCATCATGTTCTTCAAGATCGTGCTCTTCTAGAGCAATTATTTCAGGGTTGACTTCCTCGTTAGATTGAGGTTTATCGATGTCATTCCTGATATTTTAATGATTATCATCATTAATTCCTCTTTTCTTTCGAGGGTGTTTATCTTTGGAACCGAGTGGTCTACCACGATTTAAGCGTGTCGTTGATTCATTAACACTTGTAATTTGTCCATCAGGGACAATTATTTTAGCCGGAGCACTAGCAGCTTGGATATATGATCGAGTGACTTTGCTCGAGTCATTGAATGCATCCGGTAACTGATTTGCAATATTTTCCAAATGTATAATGCGTTGAACTTCTAGTTCACACTACTTTGTACGAGGATCACAAAAATTCAATGGGATTTTCCAATTAATATCCTTTTTCGATTCATTTCTGTCTTCCCCTAATGTCGGAAAATATGATTCGTCAAAATGACAATCTGCAAATCTTGCAGTGAATAAATCACCCGTCATAGGCTCAAGATATTTTATAATTGACGGCGATTCATATCCGACATAAATGCTCAATCTACGTTGAGGACCCATTTTTGTACGTTTGGGGGGTGGAATAGGAACATAAACAGCACACCCGAAAAATACGTAGATGAGATATATTTGGTTCGTGACCAAATACTAACTGCATTGGGGAATAGCTATGATAGCTTGCCGGCTTCATTCTTATAAGTGTTCCTGCATGTAAGATTGCATGCCCCCAAGCTGAAAAGGGCAACATAAACCTCATCAGTAATGGTCTAGAAATCAATTGCAATATTTTAATAAGTGATTCTGCCAGGCCATTTTGTGTATGAACATGAGCAACTGGGTGCTCTACATTAATTCCAATCGACATGCAATAATCATCAAATGCATTCGATGTATATTCACCAACATTATTTAGGCGTATAGTCTTAATTGGATTATCGGGGAATTGTGCCCGTAATTTAATAATTTGGGCAAGCAATCTCCCGAATGCCATATTGCGAATAGATAATAAACAAACATGTGACCATCTAGTAGATGCATCAATAAGCACCATAAAATATTTAAATGGCCCACACGGTGGGTCTATTGGTCCACATATATCCCCGTGTATTCTTTCAAAAAATGTAGGTGATTCAATACCTACTTTAGCTGGCGATGGCCTGGTTATCAATTTTCCCTGAGTGCAGGCAATACATGTTAACTCATTTGAGTTTAAAACGTTTTGATCTTTTAATGAATGGCCATGCGAATTCTCAATTATTCGCCTCATCATTATACGGCCAGGATGCCCAAGGCGATCATGCCATATTTGAAAATCGGTAGTCTTTTGATCTACCGTGAGGTGTGTTTCAACAACACCTAATCTGGCATAAGATAAGCCAGCAGAGAGTGATGGTAATCTCTCAATGATGCATTTCCTTTTATCAATGATATTGGTGATCAATAAAAATTCACCATCGGTATCACTCATAGTTTCAATGTGATAACCATTTTTCCGAATGTCATGAAAGCTCAGTAGATTTCTTCGAGCTTTAGTGGCCAACAGTGCATATTGTATCACAATTTTCGTCCCCACGGGGAGAAATATAATGGCTTCTCCAGAGCCTTCAATTAATTTCGCACTGCCACTTATTGTATTGACATTCATTCTTTCCCTTTTCAAGTGGGATAAATATTTTTTGTGTTTCAATATAGTATGTGTTGTTGCACTGTCAATGAAACACATATTTGCATCATTTTGTTTGGTATCCATTTAACCTTCAAATATAAA